CTACACACACACACACACACACACACACACACACACACACACACACACACCATCAAACTTGGGCTTTGTGTTCTCTGCATTATTTGACCTTGTTTCTAACCTAGTAACATTATAAATGACATAACTACATAAGAACAGTAGTGCACATTCTATTCTATTATATTACCTGGGTGACGGCATGGACTGAAGCTCATTCTTGCTGGTTTTTAAGGGTGTTCGTGGTTTTTCAGCCACAGACACGGTTATAGAGGGTCCGACATCACTGAACAACTCCTGATCATTCAGTTCCTACAAAACATAGACATATTCAACACAAAAGAGCATTAACACATCATAACAACTGAAAGAATTCAAATCATGCAAAATCTCAAAGGCAAATGAGTGTTATACAGATTGAGCCCAGGAGTATTTGGACAGCGTGTAAATGTGATGATTTGTGCATTTAACTTTAAATAAACTGGTGTTTTAGTTTAATAAACACCTTTTTTGTCAGATGTTTTACTTCTACAATCTTTCTTTAAAAATGACGTGGTTAGATTTTTTTCTAAAATAATGTAAACATATGCATGCATTTTGAAGCAACTGGAACTAAAACCATAAAAAAACTAACATTTTTGTTACTTGAAAAAAAAAAAAAAGAAGTAAAAAGTAAACATTTTATTTCAGCTACATTTTCGTACTAAAACAAAATAAAAAATAACAAATCAAAATTAATAAAATCTATATAGACATTTTGGAAAAAAAAAAAAGGCAAAACAAAATTACTAAAACTTTAACCAACATTAAACTGAAAACAGAAAATATAAAACAAAATCGTAATGCATAAATGGCACTAAAATAAGAATGTTTTGACTTTTGCTTTAGGCGCTGCTGTATATATGTGTGTGAATCTGTAGTGCAGCGTCTCACCAGCGTGTCGGTCTCAGACAGCGGCTCATCCAGGTTGCGGCTCCGTGAGTGTTTGAGTTTATCTGACGCCGGCTGCTCGCCCTGCTGGACACACACAGGAACTACAATCACTCACTCCAACTAAACACTCACACACACGTCTGAGGAGCAGGGTCTGTGCATCAGGCTGCATGATCTGGACTGCGGCCTGTAAACGATCGAGCCCTGGCAGAGCTGGAGGTTCATGTTCGACACGCAGCGAGCCGCCCATCCTTTAAAGTGCCCCTATTATGCCATTTCCAATATTTCCTTTCATGCAGTGTGTAATGTAGCTGTATGTGAATGCAAACGATCTGCAAAGATGTAACGATAAATAAAGTTATTGTCTCCCAAAAGAAAGAATCGACTCTGAACAGCCTAAATGAGTCGTTAGTAATTCGAATCCCACTTCCGTGACGGCTACACGTCACTGGGTAACACATTAGCATAATGCGCGCCTATGTTCTACGTTGGCTGACCGCGAATAACTTGACCCCGCCCACAAACACGTCATGTTATTGACGACTGCTTCTCTAATTCTCTAAAGAGTTCAATGCGGGATTCACAAAACGCTTGCTCTTGAAAGATGGATCAGTGTCCTGTTTATTTGGACCAGCTGCTCCACTGAATCACAACCTGTAAGTATGATAAATAACAGATGCTTATATTTTCTATAAATCGTTCAAAATGCAGAATTATTGAAATAGGCATATCGTTTCCGACACAGCTGTACGCCGTAGACCAATCACAACAGACTGGGCCACCTGACCAATCAGAGCAGAGCAGGCTCACGGAAAGGAGGGGCTTAGAGAGACTGAATCTTTGAACTGCTTTGAACGAATCGTTTGAGAATCGCTGGAAAATGAGGTGATATTAAATGCATATTGCATAGTTTTTTGACCTTGCATGCATGTGATCCTATTGTAGGAGACTCCCAAAACAATATTAGGAACCGTAAAAATGGCATAATAGGGGCACTTTAACACCACAGTTGCCATCAGGTTTCATATTGTTATACTTCTAAATACACATCATTCTCATTCGTCACGATATTCTCAATTTTTGGTGGCCAGTGTTTTATTTTACTTTGGGCCTCCTGATTGATATTTGAGAGTTGATATAGAAAACAGCAAAAAAATAAAAAACTTTTTGTACAATCCTTGTGCCTACATCCAAATAAATCATACATTTTTTAATTATGTTATAAAATACAGACAGAGATAAACATGAAATGGTGAAGAGAACAAAAAAGTTTGAACCCTTTGCTACAATCCTAGTGGTCTAGAGCCATCTAAATATAAAATAAAATATTAATATAAAATATTAATTAGTGCTGTCAAACGATTAATCGTGATTAACCGCATCCAAAATAAAAGTTTTTTGTTCACATAATATATGTATGTGTACTGTGTATATTTACTATGTATATATAAATACACATACATACAGTATATATTTTGAAAATATTTACATCTATATACATTTATATATTTATATTTGATATTATATATAAATATGTTTAATATATAAACATAACATATTTTTCTTATATGTTCTTAAACATGCATGTGTTTGTATTTATATATAGATAATAAATATACACAGTACACACTCATATATTATGTAAACAAAACTTTTATTTTGGATGCGATTAATTGTTGACAGCACTAATATTAATATATATATATATATATATAAAATCACAACAGAAATATATTCTAAAATTACTCACCCTTCTCATCGACATTTGGTTTAACTTATAAGTACTAAAATAATTTAAACTACATAAACTAAAACTAATAAATAAAACAATACAGACAAATAAAAATATAAAAACACGACAAAAACACACAACAAAATTACTAAAACTTTAATTAGAATTAAAGTGAAAACCAAAAATGATAAGGAGAACAATAAAGTTTGAACACTTTTCCTACAATCCTAGTGGTCAATAGCCAACTAAATACAAAACAATCAGTAAATAAAAATGTAAAAAATTTTTATGTCGCATCGGTCTCATACAGTGTTTGAGTTTAGTTTTAGCTCGCCCTCATATGAAAAAACCAAAACAGATAAAAACGTCCTTTAGTGCTTTCAAAGGATATGTTGTTACAGAGAGAAAAGATGAATTAAATGAAGACTAATTCATATTACCTTATGAATGTTTTTATGTTAAAAAACCTTCTTCTGTCCCAGTTTAAAGGGGTGCTATTATGCTTTTTCACTTTTTCAACTTTAGTTAGTCTGTAATGTTGCTGTTTGAGCATAAAAAAGATCTGCAAACCTCAAAGTCCACTTCAAAAAAATATATTTTATTTAACAGAAACCACTTTTTAAAAACTACAACGAACGACTCGTTTGGACTAAAACGCATATTTTCCAGGATTTTTGATATCACAAATATCGATGAATGGGACGAGACCTCACAACACACTCTGGCCCAGCTAACCAATCACAGCACACACTGGCCCAGCTAACCAATCACAGCACACACTGGCCCAGCTAACCAGTACACCCCCAAAACAAAATCAAGACTTTGTAAAAGAGCATAATAGGACCCCTTTAATATACAGAGGCGTGCCTTGCAGTCTTTTTACTTGCTTTCAAAACCCTGCTTGGTCTGAGATGTCAGTTTGGGTTTGTGTGGGGAGTGTTGAGGAGCTCTGGCTGGACACGGTGTAGTTTTGTGATGATATCTGGTGCTGTACTCACGGGGCTGAAGGGGTCTCTGCTCAAACTGCCTTTACTGTTCAAGCTGCCGATCTCTGTCTGAGAGCTCGACTGGGACATTCCCTCGAAGAACGGCCTGCGAAACACACACAGAGAGAAAGATTTGTTAAAGCTTAAATACACAAAGAGTGTGTTATTTTAACAGCACTGGCTCGTCACTCATTTCTGTTCATCTGTCTGTGATCAAAGATTAAGAGAGCACAAAAAAGTCCTGAATCAGCGAACACTGCTTCAGCCTCGGCTCAAACGCATGCTGCACACTCCAGCTTTCTGAAGAACTCATTCAGTAGACAGCAGACTTTAAAAACATCCAGAAGATCAACAAACTTCAGCGCACATCTTATCATCTCCTTTTATGGTGATTTCTGTTCTGTCTGATGCCTCGTATTAATGCATTCAGAATCTGCACATTCCTTTTCATTTAATTAATTATGTTTTTATTATTTTTATAGTTTCAGTTTTCCACAACTATAACGATAAAGACAAAGAGAAACGATATCGTTGGAATCACTTTCAAAACGATTTTTTTTCCAGCTGATGAACGATAAAAAATTGACAGCCAATCAGAATCCATCCTGCTGTAACAAGCTCGAGAATTTAAAGCGGCAGACGCGCGTGCGCTTAGAATAAACAGACGATATCGTTCGGTGGTGTGGACGCTAATATCGTTATCTTTATAGTTACCGTTCTTGGTGTGAATGGGGCTTAACTGTTTAAATAAATCCTAAAAAACTGTGTGGGAGTGGATTGAGGACGCACCAAAGTGGTTGCCGAGCAACACACAAACGTAAACAAAGGTGTATGTTACTTTGTAGAGTCATTTACAACAGCTTCGAACGTGGCTCAGCCAATCAGAATCAAGAACCGGAACTCTCCGTTTTAGAATGTTACTGTGTGTTTAACAGAAGTTTCTGTGAGTACCGACTGAATCTCTACAGCAGCTGAGGGTGAGATGAGGAGGGCAGAGACTGTGCAGTGAGCAGCAGGGGGCGCCGCAGACAGACAGACAGCTGTGTGTGTTACCTGAGCTTGGGTTTGGGAGTGCTGAGGATGCTGTCGGTCTCCTCCATCTCCGGCCCGCTGTCGCTGGGGTTGTACATCTCCAGACTGTCATAGAGCTCATCCAGATCCTCCTCCACCTCCTGGATCTGCTCACGGGACACGTGCTCCAGCCCGAAACCCACCTGCACCACACACAACACACAACACACCGCTTCAGTGAGCACCTGCAGATTCAAATACAGTCATATTCCATATACGACAGCAGAGCAGCAGGCTCACATTCAAGAAATTCACATTTTTTCCCCATCTTTCCCAGAATGAAAAGGTGTTGAACTGAATGAAACATTTTTATCAATATTTGTGACCCTGTCTGTGAACTCCAGGCTAAAGTCTCAAAATCTAATTATGAGATAACAAACATCAAAGTTTGATTTCAACCATTAATTTCACTATGATTTCAATCTTTGACATGTCCTTACTCTGTCAGTATTAAAGATACATCTTTCTACATCTTTATGAAGGATGATTTTATGGAGAAAACAGTAAATCACACAAATAGGTTTTTAAAGAGATAGTCTGCCCCAAACTTAATTATTTACAGATATGCAAATTGTATTTAAATAAATCTATACATAAAAGGTATAAGAACATATAAAGTAACGCTAGTATTACTATTATGAACTCAATTTAGTTTTGCATTTTTTCAGTTTTCATTTTAATTTTAGTCATTCTGTTGTGCTTTTATTGATTTTTTAAATATATATTTCTCTTAAGCTTAAAATGTTCTTTATTTCAGTTTTAGTAATTTTAGTACTTCATCTTGAACTTATTTTATTTTTAAGTTAGTTGTCAAGGCAATGTTTCCAATTTCCATTTAAATGTCTTAAGTTTTTCATCTAATATGATATTTTATTATTTCATAGATTTAGCTGTAGATTTTGTTAACAGTAACAACAAAAATGGAGTGACACGAGGGTCAATAAATGATGACAATTTTAAATTTTAAAAAGTTTTTAAATAAAAAAAAAACAAAATTTAAACTTTGTTAAAAGTCTTTGTTGTTTTAGTACTTTTAGTGCCATGCAACATTTATGATCGTTTCAATATTTGAAGGGATAGTGCACCAAAAATGCATTTGCATTTTCCCGTCTTTTTTCGGGCCAGGTGCGAATGTTCAGGAGTGGGACTAAAAGACAGAGGTGTGACTGACAGAAAATAATTAGGTCACAGCAGCATGATCACAGTCATATTTCAGTGAGAAAGCAGACGTTACCTCATCTGACACCTTAAACCTCTTCAGCAGAGCCACAAACTTCTGCTTGATGTTCGGTTGCTGGAGAAAGAAAAAGCAATAAAACATTTACAACACAATTCAGACAAAATACTGTATAAAATCTGCCAGTATAAAGCTTAAAGTCAACATCAAATAAAAGCTAATCCTATTTTCAGACTTAATGCGCATTTCTGATCACACTGTGATTCATCTGAGCATTTGTTTTATTTTAACTAAGATACAATGCTAGAAAAGTGACCTCTTTAATGGTAATGGTGTGTGTTAAATGGAGCTCAGTGCGGTCGTTCATATTCATTAATGCAGTGATCCAGTGTGTGTGTGTGTGTGTGTGGGTGTGTGAGAGAGTGAGTGTGCGTGTGAGTGTGTTTGAGTGTGTGTGTGTGTGTGTGTGTGTGTGTGTGTGTGTGTGAGAGT